AATGACTATTTCTGTGGCCATCAACGACGCACCCAGCTTTTTCAACCAAACGATATCGGATTCGTCGCCTTCTTTGATGCGAAGGTGTTCAAGGCTTCCCTCAATGTCTCGGAACGACCTGTGCGCGTCCATCATCTCCAGATCATCCATGTTGTCTTTAGCAGCATTCCAAATCGTTTCCATTTCGACTCTGCCATTTCGTAAAGATACATAGCGAACATAGATGGACGCAAAGATGGCTGCTACGAACGTGAGAATGCCGGCGATGTTTGCGGTGATGGAGAGTGGGCTGTCCTCCATCGGGAATGGCGTGGTGACAAGCGTGCCGAATCAAGCGCTAGTTCGAAAGGGCGGGATGTAGCCGCACGTGGTCGTCAGACTTTCAACTCCGCAAGTTCAACTAGCATCACGATGAAAAAGGCAGACGAAGGGATGTATGACCATCAAGACTGGTATTGCGCAACGAAAACTTTTCAGCTGACTCCTCCGCTGAAGTAAGCGGCAGCTGCATCGTGGCGTCCAACGAGGTTACCTTGTCTCGTATGCATGATTCAGCTTTGCATCCCGCGCCTCTTGACGAGCACATTGCAGCTTTACTGTCATCAGTAAGGCTTTCCACGTTCTGTTAGTCCTATGGAGTGCCTCCGCGCTTTCCGGTACGTCGGCAGACTGCCAGCCGCACAATGACCCACGGTGCTATTTAGCGATCTTCATCATCGCCCCTGCAAGACGCGTCCATCGGGATAGAAGCTCCCATGGGTCATTATAGCACCGATTCTGAACGTCCTGCTGCAGGCTCTCCACCACTCACAGCCCGTGTGCGGAAACATGTAGTTCAATCATTTAGGGAAGCGCGAGCGACAGGCGCACATGTCGGTCTTCTCACCTAGTTTCGAAGAAACGATTCAACCCTCATAATTCCATGTATCAGTCTTTTTGGCAACCCCGGCATAGCGATAGTAGATGATAGGAGATAAAGAAGAAGCCAGCAGGCCTTTTATATCTCTAGCCGGCGAACTCTGCCATGACAAAGACCGCCTGTGCGTTTCGAAACGTCTGGCCGCGACATCGGAATGCGTACATGTTGTTTTGGAAGCATGTGGGGTCGCTGCCACAGTTCTCGGACCCCAAGTTCATGGGACTTCTGTCGCGAGTTTTGAGGACGCAGCAGGAGCGCGCATACGGTCTTTGTGGGGAATTTGGAGGTAACAGTGCTGCACCAGTCATGGATAATAAGGCCTTGTTTGAGTGATCACGTTCTCAAGAGCGAAGTGAGTGAAGGAAGTAGACAACCATGGCAGTCATTTGTTGCAGTTTCTCGTTGATCGCCAGCAGCAAGACATCGATTCTTGTTGCCGTAGTTTGAACACCTGTTCTTGATATGGTTTCTGGCGGAGGACAAAATTTCTCGCTCATGTTGGTGTAGTGAATTGTTTTAGAAGAAGAGAGGACGAGCAGCCAAAGCACACATTCCAGGCTGTTGAATTGTCTTTGGAGAAAGAGCCAGAGAGGCCATGAAGCGCTCTCGGATAAGTTTTGGAAAAGCCAGAAAGAGCTAGGATTATAGAAATGAGAAATCTATCAGCGAGGGAGGAGCTTTTATACACGCAGCGCTCGCGCTAGTCATAGTTGTAATCGCTGGAACATTTCGGAATCGCATCATGAGACTTTTGTAAGATCGCAACGCGCCGATCATAGCCGGCGTCCTGGCAAAGTTTGTTGCACAAGACCAGAACTCGCCATTAAACGTCTTGTTCTGGTATTTCGAGAATTGAGTAGAATGTAACTTTTGAAGTCAGACTGACAAGTCGGAAGACTGTGTAAGCGTCGCCCACAGACGAGCCAAGTCATAAAGCCGACGCATGCGAGATTTTGGAAAAGAATGCGAAGAATTTTGGTGTAGAAGAGAAGAAGCAGAGGACTCGCGGAGGTTTTATACGCGTTCCAGCGTGCCGCTGAAGTCATGTTGTAGGCATCTTGGTACTTCAGAGGCACGCTGCTCATGTATATACCCCACAGTCGTCTTTCGGAACTGGTCCTTGTTCTCCATAATCATAGCGTCGATGCTTTTGGCGACAACGGAAGAAGAGAGGACATAATTCTGTATGTCGTTGCTTTGAGAAGCCGACAAACGCCCATGCGTGCCAATTCTCGTGATTTTGGTAAAAAATGCAGAAATTGGTATGTAAAGAAGGCCAGGAAGGCACAACGGCAGAAGGTCTTTTATACCGTCCTTCTGAGGTGTAAATGCGGCAGATCTAGGCGGGCGAAATCATAGCCAATTTCTGAGATTGTTTGAGGCGAACTCCGCATGACATGTTCTTCCAGTATTTTGAGTATGATGTAGCTGCCAGAGAGCAAGTTTCGGTATGGTGGGTCGAGAAGAAGGCCGAGAAGACATGTATCATCTGGTAGGCGCTTTTGGGGAGAAGAAGAGCAGAGCACATGCCGGCCATCTGAATGATATTTTGGAGAACCGCAGAAAGAGTGTGATATAGAAAGCAAGTCCTCAAGCCGACGAGAGAGGAATTTATACCACTCTCTCCCTCTACTCCCGAGGACCGACATGGGTTGGCGACTAGGGGTTTCGTCGAGAGGCTCTGCTCATCATCCAGTCAACCGTCCTTTTTGGTTCTTCCCACGAACACTCCGACATCGGATATTCGCACATGTGGTTTTGGAAAGGCGGAAAGGAAGAACAGATCATTCTGTCGGAGATCGTCGATTTTTGAACAGGAGAAGAGCCATACGCCCGTGACCTATTGTTTTGGAGTAAAGCACCGGAAGCGAGGTGATAATGAAGAAGGCCAGAAAGAGGGAATCGAGGAGGTTTTGTAGCTCGAATGGCGTGTTTCCAGATCCTCTGCTCTCGACCATAGAGCCGTGTCCTGTCGTTTTTGATAAGGACCGGGTTCTTGGGACAATGTATGAACATATGCGATGTCTAATCTCCAGAGCATGGCTTCGTTGTCGTGAGTTTTTGAAAGCTAGAGTAACAGCGACAGACCGCGAGCCGCAGACATGCTATGGTGGCGGCTTGCTTTTGGAGGAAGAAACTCAGAACAGCCATAACCAAGATCAACTGAGTTTTTGGTAAAGCCACAGAAGGAGTGGTGGATAGGAAGTAAGAAGAAGAGAGGAAGAAGAGGAGCTTTTATATCTCATCTCCATCTCGTCTTCTCCAGCCATGTGAACGACGTCACGGACTTTTGAAAATTCTCAGCACTCAGCACAGCTCAGGCCATGACCATAACTCTTCCCATTTTCGAGTCGCACAACACCCCTCCATCCAGACGAGCAGCACGGTGTTTCGTTGTGGGGAGAAAGCGAAAGTACGACGAAGACTGCACACCCAATCATAGAACCCCGACATTGAGCTTTTGGTTAAAAGAGGAGGAACGCCAGGAACGAACATGGAAGGTTCGTTTTTACAATTTCGGTAGAATGCGAAGGGGTCGCGGAAAGGACGACATAAGATGGGAATCGAGGGAAGTGTTTTTGTGCTGCGAAACAGCCAGACTCCAACTTCCATGTGTCGCCATTGCAGATATTTTGGTAAAAGCACACAGGAAGTGTGGTAATAAAGAAGTGAAAGGAAGACGCAGAGAACAATTTTATACGCCACCGCCAGCATCTCCGCTCTTCATAATCGAGTTGCCCATCATTTTGTATGTGCAGCGCAAAGAGCTGCGCTCTCCATGGCACCTTTGACAGGCCATTTAAATAAGGCTCACGGCCTCCATATATGAGTTCGAGTCGTTTTTTGATCGTCGGTAATGGGGAAGAGGGCAGCGCAAGCGCACATGCATTTCGGAGAATCGTTGTTTTGGAAAAGAGGAGCAGGAGCTCACATGAATTCTCCTAATTCGTTCTTTTGGTATAAGAAGGAGGAAGGTGGTAGTTATAAGACAAGAAGCCAAAAGAGCAAGAGGAGGTATTTATACATCTCTCATGTCCGGTGCCAAGCATAATGTCCCACTCCAGAACGTTGAATATCCAGCCAGCGGAACAAGTCTCTCGTCCATGTGATGGGCGCCGCTGTATTTTGTTTTCCACAACACTCGACTTCCACATAGCAGTGTGTTAGCCTTATTTTTGCAAGGCGCCGAAGCAGAGCGCACACATATTGATTGTGACGTTCATGTTTGAGAAAAGAAGGCCGGCGCACACATACTAGCGTTGCCTCGCCATTTTTGGAAAAGATCGAAGAAAGTGTGCGGTAGTTGGTAGGAAGCAGCGGAACCAGAAGAGGTGTTTTATACATCTCCGACAGCCGGGCCGGAGGAGACATAGCGAACTTTGATGCTTGTTTTGAAACAGCACAATCGCTGGCGCCATGGTAACGGGTGTTCGGCTTTTGTTTAGTTCCCAGCGGAGAACCTTCTCATGGGACTTGGAGGTTGGATTTTGGAAAATAGGCTTGGAAAGACAGGCGGAGGGCGCACACATGAGTTCTGTTTCTCTATCTTTTGGAGAAGGACGACAGCGCGAACATGGTGTATATCTATCGCTGGTTTTGGAGAACGACCTGGAAAGATGTGGTATAAAGAAGAGAGGAGGGTGCGACCAAGAGAGGCTTTATATACCCCCTAGCGCAAAAAATCACTATCACATGCACCAAGCAGCTCCAGAATCTGAGTGAAGTGAAGACACCAAAGTCTGATCATCATTGCATAATCCATCCGATCATCAATCTATCATATACCCACCCCGCAGTCTACGCAAAGAATGATGTAAAGGAAAAGAAAGAGACTCCTGTAAATGCCCATAACCATCATGTATACTTCATGAAAGCATCGCAACCAAGCGTCAAAAGAAGCCGTTACCATAGGGCAAGCATTAGGGAGAGAAGAACACAAACCCCCGAAAAGTAATGGCAACAACCCACCATCGCACTCATCTCTAAAACCTTGTTGCAGGGAGAACCAACCATCCATAGTAATATACACATAATCGCAAAAACCTTCTTCTAATCAATCCCAATCAAACGACAATCGCTCCTAGTTGTTTGCCAGCGTAGGCGCACGCCTGAGCTTGTAATCCGGCAGATGGTCAAAGTCATCTGTTTCGGAGTTGTATCGCCAGGCCTTGAACTCGACGCCGTAGGGCTTGGGTTCCAACTGGTACAGCATACCCAATGGGCAATCCAGGTCAGCCACGTCCTCGCGCTTGAGGCCCTGGAAGTATGCCAGTAGCACGCGGGCTACGCTGCGGTGTGTGATGAGCAGGCAGTGGTCTGTCATGCGCTCGAGCTCTACGATAACGGGGCGGATGCGGTTGATGACGTCGAGGTAGCCTTCGCCGCCGGGGCCGGGGTATCGGTAGGCGAGCTTGTCGCGTCGCCGTTGGAGGTACTCGTCTGCGTACTTTGTGCGGATCTCTTCGTAGGTCAGACCCTCCATGAGACCTGCGTTCAGCTCGTCCAACATGCGCATCTGCTTGACCTCGAAGTCTTCGTCGCAAAAGTATTGCCCTGTTTGGATGCCGCGCTTGAGCATGGATGTCCAGACACAGAAGTTGCGTTGCTCGAGCTCGTGGCTGTAGTACGGGTTCGGAGGGGTGTGGTCGCCTGCTACTGGTGGGAAGTGAGTATTGGCCATCTTGTCTGCCTGTCGGACTGCCCAGTCCTTGCGCTGGGCCGCAATAAAGCGTGTCATCGCCTTTGCGTACTTTTGTCCGTTCTCGCTAAGGTCGGAGTCGCCGCCAATTTTTCCAGCCACGTTGTCCGCTGACTCGCCGTGTCGTGTTATCCAGATCATGCGCGGTGCGAGGTTGAAGTTGAGGAGGTAGTAGACGGCTTGGCCAGCGAGGAAGCCCTTGATCTGATGCGAGATCATCTTCCGGCCAACATCCACCATCTTGACGTACGGCATGTTGTTGTCTTCCTCGTAGTCGCCGATCGGAACGTAGTTCTTCTCGTAAATGGCCACGCGTTTCTTGAAGTCGGCCAGTGCCGCGACCTTGTCCTTGTCCTTGTAATCTGGGCCCGACAGCTTGAGGCGCATGTTGGATTCGAGCAGGTTCTGGTCGCGGCATACGCTCTCGACGAACAGAACGTTGAGTTCTGGCCCGGCACGGTTCCGTATCCGCTCCATGATCTGCTGGCGCCGCGCGAGTGTGCTGTTGGTTGCATCGAAAATGCCGACAGAGCCACTGCCTTTCAGGATGTAGTCGAGCAGATCGTCCAGAGTCTCCATGGCGCATTGCTCTCGCAGTGCCGCTGCCCGTTGGTTTTGAGGGTCAAAAAAGTCCGCGGACTGGTCCATGGACTCGTTCTCCTCTTCCACCGCCTCATTGTTCGGTGACGGCGCCTTTGGGCCTGGCGATGTGACTTCGACGCGTGGTGGTGGTAGTGACGGACCCTCTTCGTCATCCTCCGCAATGGCCGTGCTCCCCCGGCGTGGGTCCGGCAGGTTCTGTGGGTCTACGGGCCCATCGTGCGCGGGGTCGCCATTGATAAGAATTTTCGCAGCGATTTGCGGCAGTGTGTCCTGATGTTCCTCGATGGCCTGTTTGACGGACGAAGAGACCCGCTCGAGGTTCGCTTGCGACAGCCGAAACCCACTGTGGCTCGCAGCTACTCTCCGCTTCTCTCCCACATTGAAAATCTTGGTGTCGTGCTGCAGCCAGTTCAAGTACCGTGCCATTTTCTTTGTGATGTATGACTTGCCGCGCGCGGGCAGTCCGACCATGACGATGACGAGCTTGGAGCCGACATCTCGCTGTGCGATCTTGCCGTCGGGGGAGACCTTGGACTTGGTCAGGCCGGGAATATCGAGCGTAGTAGGCCGTAATCGCGGGGTTGACACGGCGGAGCTGTTGCGGGTTATGGCGCTGTTACGGTCAGTGAAGTAGGATGAGCTCTGCGGCGGCGCGTCTCCATACTCCCGCGGGCTCCCCGGAACGGATGGCAGTGGGGTGTCACTCAAGGCAGCGCCCACGCCATCCTTTGTGACCAGAGTGCCATTGTGGTGTTGTTGTTGGACCGGGTTCGGTACAGCCTTTAGTTCGCCATTCTGAAGTGCGCGCTCCTTGAGAGCTTGCACGTTCTTTGCAGGCGCAACCGCAGGGAATCTGGGCTCAGCGGATGAGGCGCGCGGAGTGAGGTCGTTGTCGGGGTTTGTGTTTGGTTGCTTTGCGTTGTCGAGAGGGATGGTGAGTTTGCTCATTACAGATCGGGCGTAGATGGAGTGGGAGCTGAGGCGGCGGTTGGTAGTCGAGGTGTTTGAGGAAGCTGAGGATCGACGGCGATCAGGATGCTTGCGATGTACAAGCTCGGTCACCATCGGCGTCGGGACTGCTTCCATGTTCGGCGTCATGCCAAGATGTCGAAATACTTATGTCAAGCTAGCCTGGCCGCTGCGCTAAGATAGCACCCAGGGCGCTGGAGGCGAGTCGCGGCTGCCGGTGCAAGACTGAGTTGCGTTGAGGAGATGTTTCAAAAAAAGTTGTGTGGAAGAAGGGTCTCTGTTGAAATGTCGGGTGGATTTGCAGAGGTAGGCTGATCGGGCCGTTGACCTTATCAAGGGCTGGCTCGATATGACTGTTCGGAGTCGGCCTTTGGTTGAGAGAACCACGGGTACGCCGCTGGAACTAGGCCGTTGGCGGAGGACGAGTTTTCAGGAACGCGCGCAAACGCGTTGAGAAATGCATCATCGGCAGTTTATATCTTGCAGCCTGGCCGGTGAAACTGCGATGCAATAAGGCGCGACTTGTCTGCATCCCTCGCCATGTTACAGGCCGCTTGGCAGGTGCAGGTGTTCATTGCTCGAAGCGGACAAACCCCACAGTCCGACTCCGATAACCAATCAATCCACCACGCCTCCCAATACAGCTCGCGACGATGAAGAGAGCACACCTTTACTGTAATCTGTACCCAGGTACAGGTCGAGTTAAGAACCAAAGCAGCCCTGAATCAAGCCATGGTTCCATTGTCGTGTGATGCTTCATTACTTTCAAGGTGTCTCGCACTCGTCCGATGTCGACCAGTTCGTGGGTGGACCCAACAACGTCAGTGTGCAGCCACCAACTCCACAATTGTACTGTATAGGCCAAAGTCCTTGGCACACATATACAGTACACACGCGACATGTATTTCCCCAGATTCCGAGACGCCTTCCAGACGCGCCTTCCGCATCGTGGGGATCCTGAACCACCTGCAACATGCTTGGAGCGATACCACGCTAGCCTTGTCACTCGTGATGAAATTGTTTGTCGAAAAGCAAAACGTGACTATCACGTCCGAGGGGCAGAGTCAGTGACTATGTCGTAAGCTTCAGCGTCAGGACCAGCAGGCAGATGTACGCTGAGACGCTCAAGGCTGTCAACACAGACACCACATTGCCGGATGTTCGGAACTTCTTTCTGTGCAGACCATCCTCACCGACTTCCGAGAAGAACTGTTTGTTTCCTATTCGCTGTCAGCACCCGCATTGTCGTCGTCATACATCCGCATGATGGTTCCCAACTGACCTTGTTGTCGCCGGAACAAACTGATGAACAAGATGCCAGCACCGTAGACAGCGAACAGCGCACCGATGGAGTAGAACTCGGCGGTGAAGATCTTTAGCACGACAAGCGCAAAAGAAAACTGGCCGATTGCTGTACGGACGTATGCGCCTTCGAATGTTCGCTGTGCTGCGCGGATTTCAACCAGCTCTGGACCAGTCAAGATGACTGAGCGTGCGCGATGTAGATGGAGACGATATCTGTCTGCTGCGTGACGGCCCTGGACGTTGTGAGTTGTGGACACTTCTTGGCGAAACATGCAAAGGTCCTACCTCGAACATGGTGACTGTTGCAGGTTCACCAAGGTGTGGAAAGATGGCAGTCAGTGGTGATGTTGTTATTCCGGTACTACCTCGGGACACAATCGGGTACGCGATGGATAGCTAGAGGAGACGGGTGACGTAGTGGGGTAGGGAGTATCCCGAGGTTCAAACGTCAACGCGTCGAGCAACCCGCCAGTACGTGTTTTCACTTCCACGATGTGTATATTCAAGTCGCACGATAATAAAAGTCGGACTTCGTGAAGATGTCTCGTTCTCGCGAAATGTCAAACGCGGTTAGTTCTACACAAACGCGTTAGCGCGCCTTCCCAAGATGAAGCTCCAGCGACTGACGTTGCTGCAGGGTCCAAGCACCTCCGAAGTTGTTCCTCCGTAACCGTCCCCGCAACCACAAACAATGTTGCGAAAAGTTCAATCCGATATATAATCTCGCGAAGACACCGAATCCAAGTAGAATCGCCATCCCCTTTCAACGAGAAAGCGCTGCATGCGACTTGGCGCCTGGCGAAACTTCACGCAGCGCGTCATATTTCCTTCTGTTAGGACCAGCGTACGGTATGTTCTTATTGCGAGTGCTCGACAACGCGACTTGTCATCACTTTGTAACTTTAGTCTCTAATTGACACGAGTAGGCACTCGAACGACCGCCGAACCCGCTTTACAAGCCCATTGTCTCGATCGCACGTAACGTTTGTACGCCCATTTCCGCCCTGGGACGACTACCCTGACACTCGTGTCAACGAAGAGGGAAGAATGGGGAAGTGGAACTACTACGGAGTAAAGGTCGGACGCAAACCGGGCATCTATACGGATTGGCCGAACACAGAGGCCCAAGTTAAGGGCTACAGTGGTGGACTACAACAGGGCTTCAAGACCCGAGCGGAGGCTGAGGAATACGTCTACGGCTCCAATGGACGTTCTAGTGCGCCCATAAGCCTACGAGGAGATCTTTCTGCATCTGGGTCTCCGTCGGCAACAGGCAATCTGGACAGGAGTAGAGAGATATCAGAGAGTGCGCCAAAGCGACAGAAGAAGGAGAACGCACAACCGGCATTGATTCCAGATCACCAAGAAGCCAAAATCGAGCCCGGGTACGGTCCCCTCCCGCCAGACGCAGTAGACGGTTTCGACCCGAATATCAAGCTCGACGAGCTAACAGGCAGGATCAGAGAGAAGACGCAGGAGGAACTTGGCAAAAGGAAGAGACAGCCGACCGGAGACTCCAAAAGCCCCGTTGTGGTATACACGGACGGCGGTTCGCGGGGCAATGGCAATGCTGGCGCCAAAGCCGGTTGTGGTGTCTACTTCGGCCCACAAGATCCCAGGTTCGTGTGGTGCCCAGCATGTTCTGTACGAGAGACAGCCCACTAACATCAATGCAGGAACGTTAAGGAACCTCTAAGGGGTGATCTCCAGACCAACAACCGAGCCGAACTAGTCGCAATATCTCGCGCGATCGACCACGTTCCCATCGACCGCGACATGGAGATCATCAGCGACTCCAGATATTCTCGCGACTGTCTCACACAATGGGTCCCAGGTTGGGAGAAAAAGGGCTGGAAGAATTCTCATGGCAAGGATGTCATGAACAAGGAAATCATACAACCCATCCTGGCAAGGATACGAGAACGAGAAAAGGCTGGTGCGAAGACCAAGATCACCTGGGTCAAGGCCCACGACGTCAATCCAGGCAACATCGCAGCCGATAATTTCGCAAACCAAGCTATGGACAATTGGACTGTCGATCTTGCGTCCGGGAACACATTTGACATGTCAGAAACCTTGCGGACGAAGTACAGGAATCCCAACGATCCGCCATCACCAAAGCAAGAGTATGATGTGGAAGAAATGGAGGGATATCTACGCCAGCTTGCAGACGAGGACTTAAATGGACTCAATGACTATCCTTCGGCTGAAGCCGTTAGCCAGCCTTCGATTGACGTCGAACAAGCCGCGGCTGCTTCGGCACAGGACGTCGATGACGTGTTTGCTGATCACCCAGCATTTGCATCGAAGGTGAATGGGGAAGAGAAGGAGACGGAACGGGAAGTCGCATACTAGATACCCGCCAGCTGCCGAATAGGCGGTATGCGGTTGGGCTGGAACTAAATCGGCCAACCATGGTACGCGTACGAGGAATGAATCTAACAACAATATCCCTTCAACACCTTCCAAATCCCTGCTACTTCCGACCAATTTCACGTATACAGTCTTCATATGGCCTTACCTCACACCATCTACCAACTCCCCACCAGCACCAACACACCAGACCACAACGCAATGTCTCACAAACCCAACCCCGTCGTTCCAACACCACCCTCACGCCTTTCCACATTCACATCACACCTCTCCACCTTCTTCTCCGAAGCGGCATACTACTTCTCCTGGTACATCATCATCGCTATCATACTAAAGATGCTCCTCGTGAGCATCGTAGAGGTTATCTACCGCCTTCGCTATTGCGCACCGCAAGGCTTCCTTTGGAGAGCATGTGGGGTGCCTCTTCTAGGTCTATTCCTTGAATGGGTCTTAAAATATGTTTGTGCCACGGTGTTCTGGTGGATGCTGGAGATTGCTTGGGAGGAATGGTGATGAGTGGTGGTAGGCGTGAGGAGCTGGTTTTGAAGCTCTGAGGGTCGCTTGTTGATGCGCTATGCTATCGTTTTGGGTTCTTCTCGAGAGAAACTCGATGTGGGTAGTTTGAGTGGGTCGGTGTACGCGGGTCCGGAGACAGGTAGGAGGACGCCTTTCATGTTCAGGCATCCGTACATTACGGCGATGGCACGGGTAGTTGATGGATTTACGGGCTAAGCACTCCAAGCATCGCACGCCAAGTTCGGAAGACGGCATTGGCGTGCAAATAGGAACGAACATACTCCCCGGATCCCATTCCGAAGCATTCGCCACAGGCTAGTCATGTGTGCCTGCACTCGGAAGAAACGGCTACTAACACTAATTAGGCCACCCACCATCATCATCATTGTCTATAATAATGACCTGTCTTCGCCCCGTTCTATCCACCTCTCGAACTGAGTCTCACGTTCAAACGCACCATCAATTCCCTCAGTCATTGTCATCCCTTCCATTATTTAATGAGGTATCCAGTCATCGCATACGTCTTTTGTACTGTGGGACTCACTCCCAGTAAAACAATATACGACCACCTATATCTCCTCTTCACCGGCTACGCTTTCCACATCTACCTCGTCCACACCACCAAACACCGCCGTTTCAGCATGCCCGACAACTTGGACCAATCGCAAGCCCATCTATTATCCCAATCCGATTCCCAGACCAACTTGGGCAGCAGCAGCATGTCCACCACCAACGACATCAAACAACACCGCCGCTACTCATGCTGGTGCCGCTTCTTCCTCGTCACGCAAGTCGTGCTGCAGACTGTGTATCTGGGGTTGAACTACTGGACAAACGGGCATCTGACGGTTTTGCAAATGACGACGGCGGGGTTGTATATTCTGGGGGCGGCGCTTATGGAGGTTGATTTGAGGAGGAAGGAGAGGGAGTTTTGGAATATTGTGGAGAATGGGGGGAAGAAGGATGTCGAGAAGGGGAGGCTGGCTTGGGAGGAGAAGGAGGTGAAGGAGGAGGGGAGGGTTGATGAGAAGACGGGGTTTTTGAGCGAGGGAGCGGAAGGGGGAGAGGAGAGATACAAGGGCCGGGATGATGGTAAAGAGGAGGTGGAAGTAAAGGTGGAAGAGATGAAGGAGGGCTCTGAGATGTGAGTTGCGACTATGGACCTCTTCTAACGAGGGGTACTAGACGCCTTCGTCGTACAACCTAACATCGCCTAGTTTGAAGTTTCCTTATTATCATGTTGGCCTACTTCTCTTCTTCATCGGTTGGATGGTCCACTAGAAGCTAGTGGCAGTTTGCTCATAATCAAAGTCAGGTGTTTGCGCATCAAAGCGTCTTATACTGTAGCCACAATGGCGCGCAGGTGCGAGTAGCATCCATGTACGAACGGTTGTGAGACATTTACCGGCTTCGTACATCCATCTTTAGGCACGCTGATTGCGCAATCTACTTAGAGCTTAGCAAACATATATTTACAAATAAAAGAAAGGGCTTACAAGCTCAGCGCTATGACATTACCCTAACTGAGCGACATATTACTTGACCTCATCCCGAAATCATCCTACTCTCAACCTTTGTACGCACACTCCGCAACCCCATTTCGCAACACCCACTACTCCTCAGTCCGCAATGTGCCATGCACTCAAGATTCTCCTATCAAGACTCTTCTGGTACATTATTCTCGCGATCGCAGTCATAGCCTCAATTCACACACTTGCAGCTATCATCGCCCTCTGCGCATATGCATCCAAAGTCCAAGGCGGCGCGTGGATAATCCTTTTCCTTGCTTTCTTGGTTCTTTTCACGATCTTCGGTATGGTATTTTTCCTGTTCCTGTGTGGCATAGATGTTTTTGGGATCGATGAGGCTTTGCCGTGGGTGGATTGAGTTGGCTCCCAAGGTTGGCAGGAGGTAGCTGGAGGCTTTCGGTAGCGAGACCACGTGGAAGTCGACTGCGCCCTGCGCAAAAATGAGAAAGATTTATTGTCCATGGTTAGGATGACGAGAAACTCTGGTTGCAGACTGCGGTTTCTAGGCTTCTCCCTGAGTAAGTTCTTTATAGCTTGCTTCAACTGCTAAGGAAGCATCTTCTCTTCTCATCACACATCCGCACCCTTCGCATCGGCTCTCCAGACAAAACGCATTTCAAAATGATGTCGCCAGCAGCAAAATTTGTCCTCCTTTCCACACTAGCAGGTGGCATCGTCGCGACTTCCTCTCCAACGGCAACTACTCTTGGCACTCGTGTACTTGCGTCAGACTCAACATCCATTCCAACAATTTCCACATCTTCTTCCACCTACAAGATACCATTCAAAACTGGCCACGGCCCGGTCGTAATCTCAACGTCAGTCCCTGCATTGACGCTGCATGATCCCAAACTCATCACACCAACGGTTATATCTTCACCAACAAATAAACCAGTTTCATAGTGCGTGAACCCCCTGTCATGCTAAACACTCTCTAAATCTCATCGCTAACAGTCACAGCCACAGCATCTGGTCCAGCGACGAGCACCAACCCGAACGCACATTCCCCCACCACATTCCCGGCGAAATCAGTTCAAGGGAAGGTAAGATTGAAGGCATCACCATCGATACCATGTACGACACCGACTGTCATGGAGACGATGGAGATGCCCACGTCTACTTCACCATCGCATACACCAACGGCACGCTCGCCTACGACCCGCGCGGCCGACCCGGCCTCTTCTCCTTCACAACCCCCTGGTATATCTCATACCCAAAAACACTGCGGAAAGCCATCTTCAACGACGCAACCCCGTATCGCTCCAAACAGAAGTCCGAGGACTGCAAGCATGGCCACTGCTTCAGTGAGGTGCTGCCGGGGTTATTGTATAACAACGAGCCTGTCAAGTTGAAGCGCGTCAAGAATCCGAAGACGCTGAGACCGTTCACTTCGGATCGGGACTACTTTGCGCTTGGCGAGTGTCACTATGACGACAGCCTACTCGATATCTGGAGAATGGGTGTGTATCTTGGTCGTATCGGATACTACATTCACGGCGCTAACATACCGCCTGCTGTTATCGACTATGTGGAGGACAGAGTACGAACGACGTATCCGACGCTGGAAATTTGCCTGATACTCTGGGGAACACTTGGTGCTATTCCGACTCTCATATTCGTCATCGTTCTCTTGGTCTGGTTAGTGAAGATAACAATTTGGCTAGAATATGATGGGCCAAAAAGGATGTGGGCTTCTGCTCAACGTAGCCGTGAGGCTATGTGGGAAGCGATCATCATGGCGCCGGGTAAGGGATGGGATGCGGTGAAAGGACGTTGGAAGAGGGGGTTCAGGCGCCAAAGGAGTGTAGTCGCGCCACCGAACACGGTGCAGTCGACGGGGGATGAGCAGCTGCCGACTTACGAACTTCCCGAGTGGACACCTTCGGAACTTGCAAGGCCGCCGAGTTATCGTACGTATGATGGTGCTTGTGATGGGTTTAATGCTGTTTGAGCGGGTTAAGCGATATAGAGGAGGATAGAGATACAAGCGACAGGTTGGGGATAGATATACCAAACAGCATAATGCCACATATGAATGACATCTCCTATCTTCCTTAGCCGTTCCACACGAGCCTCACCACTCCCTCCACACACGCCCATCACCCCACCACCTCCCCCAAAATCCTAACCTTAATCCCCTCACTCCCCAAATCCGGCATCCCCAAAAAACAATCATTACTCGTCAACACATCCCTCCCCTCAACCGTATCCCACACCTCCATCCTGTACCTCCGCCAAATCATCGCAAGCCCCATATACAATTCCGACGTAGCAAGATTCATGCCTAGGCAATTGCGACTGCCGCGCCCGAAAGCAAAGAGGTAGCGGGTGAGTTTGGGGTTCTCGAGCCACCGCTCTGGGTGGAAGGCGAAGGGGTCGGGGTAGATGGCAGGGTCGGTGTGGAGGAGGTAGGAGGATTGCATGATGGGGGTGCCGCGGGGGAGGGTGTAGGGGCCGTATGTGAGGGATTCGCCCGTGGGGATGCGGGGTTGGCGGGAGGAGACGCCGTGGGCGGTGCGGAGGCCTTCGTTTATTACTGCGGTCTGAGATGCTGGTCAGAATCGTTTGGCTTTTTGCATGGAGCGTACTACTTACCAGGTATGGCAGGGCCTCTAATTGAGGTAGTGAGACTTCGTGATCTGCCGTGGGCATCACGGTCTTCAGCTCTTGTCTCAACTTCTCTCCAACTTCCGAGTTCTTGATCAAGTAGTAAGTAGTGACCGCCAGTGTCCTTGCCGTCGTCTCCGTCCCCGCACCAAGGATAACACTAGCATCCGCCGTTAACCGCTTGGGATGTTTCTCTTTCTCCGGAAGTTTACAACCAACATCATCTCTAATATCATGAAATATCGTGCGCCTCAGGTTCTTCGTATCGCCATCGCCATCCTCAAAGTTCATAATACGTTCGATCCTGCCCAGCGTCCTGAGACTGAAGGTGTTCACTGTGGCAACCCCGGGGCTTAGTTTCTCGACAATGTTTGGCGGAAGATCGAGCATGAAGTTCATGATAGTAGGGAATTGGCGCGCAAATGGCTCGATCTGAATTCCGTCGTGCATAACCTTGAGCCAGATCTTGGCGTAATCGTCGTGGTCTAGGGTTTTGATCGACTCGCCGAAACAGTACTCGGAAATGGTGTCCATGGTGAAGGCGGCGTATGCGTCGTTGAGGTTCACGACACCGGCTTTGGGGCCTTCCTTCTCAAGTTCGCCGGCGAAACGATCCATAAGCTTTTTGGTGTTGTTTACGACGAGCTCTTCGAGGGCTTGGACCGAGCGCTTGCTGAAGAAAGGCGCTATGGCGTTTCGTCGCATTTTATGCAAGTCATGGTCTATGGTGTCGAGTATCGCGCCTTCCCAAGACTTTGCACCGGTGTGAAACGACCAACTACAACGATCGCGCTTGTGATTCATGCCGGATGCGTAGATCGTGTCGAAGTAATCTGCATCGTGGATATGGACTTGAAGAGGATTGATCCGTATGATAGGCCCTGTTGCTGTGGTCAGAGCCGTAAGGCAGACAACATTGACCATGGCGCACCGTATTCTTCATGTAACTGTTTGATCTTCCACAAGTACTGGAATTTGTGCGGATAGATCTCATAATAAAATTCGTACCAGAACGTGAATGCTGCCAACTACACAGCGTTAGTCGTCATCTGAAGTCCTTCACAGCACACTTTGTCTTCCAGGTCGTACCTTTGGTCCAGGGATGTTTGCTAAAGGATGGAAATACACCCTGTACACGCCAACGGCTAGCCAGTACAGTATCCATATTCCAACCAGAGACGCAGCGAACTCTTTCGATGCGCCACTACGTATGAGGTCCCAGAGGCGGTCCATGGTAAGTGCGGTGGACGATGTGCGGGGATCGCATCTTCCACGCGAGGGGGCCTCGGCAAGCCATATGTACACACGCTAGACTTCGCGCAGGTAACGTGAGACAACAACATAGTTTATTGGAACGGTCGCCAATAATAGTGTCAGCATATTCAGCAGGGCGGGATATGCAAGGGCGCCAAGACCATGCACACCGCTAGCGCTTACCACAGCGCTGATACGTCATGCAGGCTGCACAAGCCCGTTGCATGTATGATTGCAATTAAGATGACTGATTGGCGTTCCGAGAGACATATCAGACTGACCAATAGCAAACATCCTTGTTGCTGGGTATTCAGATAGCAGTTGGCATTAGGGTCGCACGAGATGCAAGTAGCGGGAAGCCTTGTATTGCCCTCCAATGCTACAGGCTCCCAAGCACCGCGATAGTCGTACAATGATCTGAAGGCAAGAACTGACATGAACCCTATTGCTGGGACACCTTCTCAACTTACCTTCGAGAAGTTCGCTTCCAAGACGAAATTCGTACGTTGAAACAATCGGTATACTTCGAGTCATCGCAATCCCAGTCCCATATTATTGGCATCATTCTTTTCTTTCCGGTCTTTGGCAACGACTGAGCTAATGGACTAGTCCACTCATAGCCTGACCGAAGGACGATATACGCACTGATGCCGTATCCATATGTGCTATGTGTTTGGTAAGGTGGTGAATCAAAAGCTACGTGAGATTTCCGATTGGTTCCGTTCTGCGGACCTAGGTCTCAGCATACTTTCCCACATAGAGTCGTTAACAAGCGCACTTACAGTGAATATGTGGACGCTTTCGACAATACCACCGCCACTGTGTTTGAGAGAAACAGTCAACTGAGGTCCCCAATTTGATGGGATGTAACATCTTCCACACTCGACATAGATTGTGATCATAGGCTTCGGATTTGGCAGTGAGCTCAATCTTCGATCGGGGCGTTCTTCTGGAGAGCAACAAGGTCGAAAGAAGCCCCAATGTTGCTCTTGTCGAGCACGCTTTGCCCAAAGAGCGAAGTCCAAGCCGTTGATAAGAAGCACTTCCTGTTCAACCATATCAGCAGTTGGGCGCATAGCTGCTTCTTCCTCCATCATCCATCGCACAAGGCCCATAAGATAACCATCGGTAGCCGTCCAATCCCCCACGAAAGTTTCTTCTTCAAGCCATCCGACGATGGTGTCAAGATTCGATTGAAAAGACCTGTCGTATATTCGCCGAAGCCCTTGGCTGAGGTCCAGAGTGAGGCCCATGTATAGAGTTATGATCTCGAACAAGATACATCCCATGGAGAATATGTCTGCTGAGCGCCCGCTAGGCGCAAAACTGGCGACTTCCGGCGCGAAGTACTTCGGTGTTCCGCGTTCCCCTTCATTCGTGACACTAGAAGTCAGCACGGAGAAGTCGGTCGCCGTACCAAAATCTGTCAGCCATAGCCCATCCCTAGAAAGCAAGATGTTTGATGGTTTCAAATCTTTATGTTTGATGTTAGACGCATGGAGATAAGCTACTGCGCTTGCTATGCAGCCAATTGTCTGTTTGAGGAAATGTTTGACTGGATAGCTGTCGATCTCTTGGTCTTGGGTTAAGACTCCAAGCGCGCGAAGTCTTGCTTCGCGATCGGCATCGTGTTTGGATTGCTTTTCTGCCAACTTAGGTGCATCCCCACGATCGACCAAGACCTTTTTTTGTAGCCAGTCCACATCCTCAAGAAGAGTCGCAAGATCGCAAGGCGCAACAGGCCATAGTAACAACCCAAGGAATGAGCCATGCGTATAAGTTCCCACGAGCCTGACGATGTGGCGATGTGAAAGCTTCTTGATGATCTCGATCTCGCTTCTTTCTCTTTCGCCTATTTTGCGACGGCAAAATTTGCGTTTCCAGGCCAGCCTGATGCCGTTGCAGGTAGTCGCGTACACTCCGCCGTTCATGCCATGACCGAGAAACTCGCCTTCGGTCAGAGGAAGTACCTCTGACTTGTCGTAGTCGACGTGAGATGTGCCGCGGCCAGACCAATCCAGCCTTACGTCATTGATGTATTCACAGGTCGGTTGTTCAGGTAGATCGGAGGTAGCGGATGATGAAGAGGGAAGCTGGTTGGAGTAGTCTGAGTTCGACATGTGTTGGGACGCCGAGATTGTAGGACGACAGAGTATTCGTAGGAAGTAACATGTCGTCGTAGAAGTCCATCAGGCTGTAGGCATCTCTTGGCTTCGCAAAGTGTGTTGGCTTGCGACTGCGGGGTTCTCTAAGCCACATTATGCAGGCCGGGGTCAGCGGCACCCAGCCAACTATCTCGTCTGTCTCAGCTATATGCATTGTCGAAGGACTTCAGACGTGAGCTCCTATTGCGCCTGTGTTGGCCAGCTTGGCGTGTAGGTGAAACTGTCGGCAAAAAAGGTGAGACAAAAAGGATTTTAACAGCTGAAACTGAGGATTGAACTCAGGATCTTCGCATATCGTACGACGTACGAGTGCGACGCCTTACCACTTGGCCATTCCAGCCGAGTTATTAGCGAGCGTAAATTAATACACAATATGATGACTCCTTGAGGGCGTGGGGAATGGTTCAGCGCCAGTGTGACCGGTGTTTGTGGCCAGTGAAGGTACAAACGCTTCAAGGACAGCGAGCGAAGTCGCTCTTCTCGGTCAAATTCACCTACTTGCGGATACTCGCCTTGTCCACATTACTGATCAATGCGTCCCTCCACTCTTGATCCTTGAGTATGCTTCGCACCCTAGCCTCCAACCATTCGGTGTTTCCCCAGAAGCCCCAGCTGGCCTGGAAGCGGAGCCAGTCTACGAGCGCCGTCTCCCAATGTCGCACGAAGATCGACCAGTTGTACTCTTGTTTCCCAGTTTCTCTCAGTCGTTCCCAATATCGTTGCAACAGCTGCTTCTCGCCTTCTTGCATGGGTAGCTCCCGCGGGATATGCGAGTCGGCAACGAGCATGCTTAGCGGAACGGAGCATGTGAAGAACTTGGCAAGATCGCAGACTCCGAGGCCAAGACCAGTGTATTGGAAGTCGTAGAACGCGACCTCTTCACCGGACTTGCTGGTGAACATGTTCTCAGACTTCACATCACCATGGATCAGAGTTTGGTACGCTTCGATTGGTGACCGGCCGGTAGCCCTCGGTGAGAGGAACGCTGCCGCTATCTCGGAGACGGATAGGTCTTCGCCATCGACCCAGTCAGTGAGCGGCTCATTCCATTCGGCGTCGTAATCCTTCGCCAGAGTGTCGTACTCCTTGCGCCGTGTCGCAAGATAGGTATATCCGCCATTGAGCCACACCGATTTGTTCGACGAGGCCTGTCCATAACGTTGGACTTCCTCGAGCGGTGGTAGGACCAGAGACGCAGAGTCTAGAGACTTGACGCGGGTCCACCAGAAGCCATGAAAGCCGGAAAGCCAGTCCAGCGCGGCATAAGCTTGGGTCGCTGTCAACACGTCGCGTTTCTCTCCAGCCACAGGATATTGTTGCTTCAGGTCGCTCAATAACATCGCAGTCATCGAGGTGCCATCCGTGTTGTGCTTGTTGATGCTAGCGACGCATTCGGCGACCGGTAAAGTTGCTGGCATTTGAGGAGCGAGGTGGCTATAGAAGTATTGTTCAATCTGATAGCTCAGGATCTTTCTGGTATGGCCTTCGTCGCTGGCCTTCGTCGGTGGGGGGTTTACAAGCTTGAGTACGTAGGATTTCGTCGATTCTGGCGAGCCTATCGGATTAGCGAACACGCGACATATCTCGCCGTAGCCAGCCCACAACGACTGAATGGTTTGCAGAGATTGGAGTTCTAGTCCCTTCTCGGAAAGAAGGGCAGACGCTACTTTGTCTGGTGATACTCGTGTAGGCATCGAATCTGCTGGTTGCCGTAGACGGGCGTATAGAAGCGGCAGTAGGAGGATTGATATACCAGGGACGAGGAAGCAGGCGAAAATCAGCTGTGACCGTGTGATCATCCGTACAGCGACGAGATGGAGGTGAGAAGTGTGTAGCCTAGGTGCCTAGTTAAGGGGATTGGCGTTGGTGACCACCAAAGACATGCTGTTGTTGCAAAAGTACGCCGAGGGGTTGATCGACGCGACGCGTCATGCTAGTCATGGATGGCTGACATAAGCGAACATCCTGAATCGAGTTCTCTGCTGATGTACCTGGGCATGCCCCACGCCTTATCGAAGTCGACACTGCCCTTCGCACTTCCGGAAAATTGCAAGCTTGAGAGCCTCCCCGCCACTCTGATCATGCTTAAGGGGACCTGGCACGACATCGCTGGACAAGCACGACGAAAATTACCGAACTGACGAGACGCGAGATACACTCAGATGGGCCATTTTGATTGACCAAACTCATGCATTGGTATCTACTACGAAGAAGCGATAAGGGTATGACTAAGCTCCAGAGACTACAACAAGTACTGGAAGTAGATGTTCTCCTTGTCTGTCATGTCTTGCAGACCGTTCTCTCCGTGGACCTCAGCACCTGCCTCATGGAAATGGCCGCTCATCGAGTAATCGATGGGGTTCCTAGGAAGACCAGCCGCCTCGCGCTGATCGCACTTCTTCTTCTGCATCCAGGTGATGAGGACGACTTGAGCGACAACGACTCCCCAGAGGATGCACCAGATTATCAAGATGCCCTTGAGAGCGTTTACCTAGAAACGAAATGTTAGCGATGGACTGTTGGCTGAGGATACGACAGGGATAAGATGCTTACGTATTGCGGTTGGAACTTCGAATCGAAGATATATGGTGTGATGATGTTGCCTACAGAGTTCCCGGCGTTGAAAGAGGTGTAGTAGATGGCCTTCTTGGTTTGTCCAGCGCAGTTGGAGCCCATCCAAGAGATGAGCAGAGGGTTAATGGCGTACACGAAGGCAATCAGATAATAACCTGCGAGCAGACCACCCTTGTTATCCGGAGTCTTCGGAAGCGCAACCAAAAGAGCAACACCAACAATGACGATGGTAACCAAGCCGAGGAAGAATGGCGACTTGCGCTTGAAACGGTATGCGAGCCATGACGCACCAAGAATGGAAACGACCTGGAGCGCTCCGAAAGGCATATTCAGCAAGACAGCTTCGTCCGAACTGAATCCAGCCAGATTCTTCAAGATAATGGAGCCGAAGACCGAAGAGACCGACGCACCAGCATTGACAGCGATGACCATGATCATGTACAGCCAGTACTTGGGTTCAGACAAGGCCTCGGCGACATGCTTCCAGTTGAACTTGTGCGAGACGATACCCTGTTGATTCGCCTTCACTCGGTCAACAGCCTTCAAGCGGTCCTCCGGTGTCAGGAATCGAGCCTCGCCGGGGCTATCGTGGGCCCACCAGTATGTGATAAGACCAATTACGATAGTCAAGAGCCCGAAGAAGAGATATACCATCTGGTAGCGGTACAGCGAGGACGAGTTTATCTGCGCGAAACCGTAAACGATGGGTGAACTGAGAACGGTGCTAAGACCATAGCAGCTGTACCAGCAAGCCACGCGGAATGGCTGCTCGGAACGCCTGTAGAAGGCAATGGTGATCATCGAGAACAGGGGAACGACCATAGCCTCAAAGGCACCGAGGAAGAATCGCGATGCGAGCAGCCCGGCGTAACTCCTAGAACCACCGAGGCCACCGGCAACTGAAATACCCCAGCATGTGATGATGACGGGAAGAACGTGGCGGTATCGCAGCTTGACGAGGATCCAGGCGGCCAAAGGCTGCACACCGAGTTGCGCATAGTATCCGATGTTGCCGATGTTTGAGTAGTCGTTGCCCTTGAGATGGGCATCCTCCTTCAGACCATAGACGGCCGTCAAACCAATGATTCCCTTGTCGGCGGATTGCAGGAAGTACACCATGCAAAGGAGCGACAGCATCCAAATGTCGGTCTTGCGCAGAATGCGTTTGCTGTCTGCCTCAGTGCAGATGTGAGCCTCGCTTAGGCCAGCCTCCTTGCCCTCCTCATACGCCACGGCGTGGTCGATCGAAGTGTCGGACACATGCTCCATGCCGATAGCGGTCGGCTTCTCGTCCACGGAAGCCATGTCGCAAGGTCAATGGGTGAAAAGATGGAGAAAAGAAGAGATCTGGGGATGAGCTACAGTCTGGGGTACAAGTCTGGGGTAGACGTTTATATGCCTTCGTTAACGCGACGCGAACGACACCAGCGGGACCCGGCCCAACGGCGCAACGGACTAGAATTATCCCTCCAACAGCTTTGCGCGCACTAGAAGGATGCACCGATGCATCCGTGCCTCTGTGAGCTGTGCTGATGCGAGCTTGTTGTAGCCAATAGCCCTGGCAGGAGGTAATGATAGCAACCGGCTAAATCGATGGGAGGGAAGTGCTCGTGATGCGCCCATCGACCGCGGGAAGTACGAGCTTATGTCTGGATCAACGGCTCGGACTCTAACAGACCGAGAAGGTTATGAGCGTGTGCGACGAAGTGAGTAAGGCTCGCGGTGCTTTAAGTGTTGACAGGTTTACCCGAGTGGTGTTGGGTTGATAGTCGAAGTCTATGGGTATAGTACGCACCGCTCCATCGTACATCAACGAGACTAACCACCTGCCGATCTAGCCATGATCCCGGAAGCGTGGTGGGCGATGAGACGGTCAGAGCTTAGTGCGTGCCCTGATGCTGTTGACACCACAGGTCTAACTGGGGATTACCCAATAGACAGTGCGCCTTTTCCCTGGTATCATCGCCTGCATCTACGCTCGACGAACTCTGATGTTCGAGACAAGACTCTGTGCAGTGAACAAGACTTTCTTGACCAGACGACAAGCTTTTGGCCAAGAATGACCCAGGTGGCAATCTTGGGATTCTGGAAACGCTACGGCTAGAGTGGTGATTAGCCGCCTTACGTCATCCACTTCAATAATTCCACCAACAATCAATCTATGCTAGCGCCACATGGCCATCTCAACTTTACGCAGATACACATCTTTGAGAGCAATGACTATCGTGGAGCACGCTACACCAGCACAAAATCGATGGAATGTCGTGATGTTGAATGATCGAGTCGGTTGCCGGTAGTCAGGGCGGAGGAGCCACGACCCCACAAAATGCCTCGGTGCCCGAGCGGCTCCACCAGCATTCCAAGAAATGCGGGGTAAACGTCATAACAGCTCGAGACATCGTTGATATTCTGGGGAAACCTTGAAGAAGAACGTTTCAGTCGTTGCAAAACCCGCAACTCCCATATCAAACACCGACAAAGCCCGATCGCCGCTGCCTCACCAACATGGCCGACCCGAAAACCTCCACTGCGAGTCAGCGCTTGACGCAGATCAAAGATTTTCTTACCATGAATAAGACGGCAACAACCATACCATGGGATCCAGATAGCACTAAATTTCCGACAAGGAAGGAATTACCTCAGATTCCCGGGGCGCCTCCGGAGGCTGCTTGGGTTTGGGGTGACAGCGACTATGTATGTTCGACCGAAGTCTAATCTAGTTGCGGGCCGAATTGATCAGATGTAGATCGGCCGTCTCAATCTCCTAACGCCTACACGTGTCGCGGCGGCTGCGAGGGAGATACGAACGGGTGAAATCGTACCTGTTAAGTCCGTGTTATCATGATCTTTCTAATATGTCGTTGCTGACCGCGAGGTAGCCTGCCTCTCAACGTGCCGAATGTTCCCGCATTTGGTCGTGAGGTTTTTCAGCATGAGATTAAGACCCTGGCTGAAGGCATTGCCTACGATGATGTGTATCATATGAACACACAGTCTGGCACGCAATGGGATGGCTTCCGACACTTCGCTCACATTCCCAGTGGATCGTTCTACAATGGCGTATGTATCGAAGCCCAACACAACGAACCTTTGCTGACATCCAGTATAGACCAAAGGAAGCGATGTCACCGGCCCAAACGCAAACCACAAGTGTTCCATCCACCACTGGGCTGAGCATGGCATCGCAGGCCGCGGTATCCTTCTAGACTACCGGGGCTACGCGCACAAGAAGGGTATCAACTACGACCCTTACGACTACTATCCCATCTCGTGGCAGGACCTTTACCAGTGCGGCCAAGACCAGGGAATCGATATTCGCCCCGCGGCTCAAGGCGGTGACATCAAGCCTGGAGATATGCTGTTCATCCGTAGCGGATGGAAGGAGGCGTACGACAGCAAGAGTGACGAGGATCGAAGCAAGGCTGCTCTTCGACATGGTAGCGGTAAGGATGGTGAGGATGGTCAGCGGTATGCTGGTGTGAGCCAGGAAGAGAAGATTTTGGATTGGCTGCATGATAGCTACTTCGCGTCTGTTGCCGGTGATGCACCTGCATTTGAGGCGTGGCCGACGCATGAGAGTACGTTCCCTCAAACTTATGTGCAACATCAGACTGACGTTGCTAGACTACCACCTCCACGAGTACATCCTCGCCCTTTGGGGAATGCCGCTCGGCGAGATGCTGGATCTCGAAAAGCTTGCGCAGACGTGCCGCGAGAAGAACAGATGGTTCTTCTTCTTCACCTCTGCGCCTGCTAACTGCCCTGGTACGTTGATTACCCGGATTGATAAGCTCTTGCAATCGCTAACAGCACCATAGGCGGAGTAAGCTCACACGTCAACGGCACTGCCATCTTCTGAGCAATTCGAATTCGTTGAAATATCGCTCTGAAACCATATACATTATCACAAAAACCTAGCAATCAAACAGCCGATGTCACACATTCTGTCTTGTGTGACCTACACGCGCTCTCTAACCAAAACTAGATCGGGCACGCAAAATCCAAACACGCCAGCTACGCGGTATCAGCCTTATTCAAACCCCCATATCTCGACTCCGGAAACGATCCGGGGCATGTTCTGCGCTCTCTTCGGCGTGGACTCTCCCCTGAGACGGTCCGTGCGTTCGCGTCTGAGTCTCGCGGCATGGCAGGTGCGTCCAACGCGATTGACTCACTGTCCCCTTCGATCTTCACAGCCTGCATCGCGCTGTCAAACAACGAGAACTGGGTTTTCTCATCCATCAAAAGTCGTTCATAGGCCTGGTCGCCTTCAACAGCGCTGTCATCGCGTTTGACGCGTGCGGTTGGCGATGGCGGCGCCTGTGGCTCGCGTGTTGGTGGCGCGAACTTCACCTCGTCGACGGGGCCGGCAGCTTGCGCCGTGCCGAATATGGACGACGACGAAGATTTTGCATTGAGCCGGTTATTCGCGTCTGTGTCGTCTAGTACATCAAGTCCGTTGGAAGGATCTGCCTTGCGCATTTGGTCTGCACTTCCAATCCGGTCATCGAAAGCAGGCAAAGAAGCATCACTTCCGTCGCGCAGCCTCCTGTGCTGCTCGAGTCTTCGCCCCTCCCAGTCAACCACCACAATGCCACATTCAATAGAATCTGCAGCGACCTGCTCAGCTTCGCGGCTCGCTTTCTCGCGTCGGTATTTATAGCGTTGTTGTCTTTTTGCTTCCTCGGGCGCAATTCTCTGCTTGTAGCACTCCTCGGGCGTCGCATGCGTATGATACTGACAGTTTAGCAGTGGTGGCGACCTTTTGTCGCTTGAGAGGCGTCGCATAGCTGTCTCAAGCGCGGAACAGACGAAAGGCTGTGGCAAGTCCGACGGGTCGACGTCGTCGAATTCTTCCGTCGCGTTGTCAACCCATCGATCGACTAGAAAGCGGCCTAGAGCCTTCGGCATGTTACGTCTTTTCTCGCCAAATATGTGCGAGATTGTATCGATATCCGGTCGTACGCCCTTGACTATTTTCTCTTCGAGTAGATCCATGACGCGGTCCACGAATTCGACATCATCTATCACGTAGCCGTGTATCGCTGCGTTGATCAATGGCCAACATGCTATCCACGTATGCTGCGGGTTGATACCGTCGGAGTCGAAGTTGACGTCGCGATAGCGGGTGGGTATAACACCGGTGCGCCGCCATAGTTGGTGAAGTTCTGCTGCATCGGCGTCGATGTTGCGGCGTCTGAGCAGAATGGTCGAATCGAATTCGGTATCAATGTTGACAGCAGACAACCGGGCCAAGCGCCGTGTCAAGTACCAAGAATCCGGGTTCTGACGGCCATATAGAACGCTGATCATTGACTGTCTCGGTGCATCCACAGCCGCATCTGGTATTGGCGGTGCCAAGTGTACCTGAACTCCGTTGGATGACTCCTCTTTCACAGATTCTGACTGCACAGGTCCTCGCACGTCCGCGTCACCATCATCGATGACTTCATCGTCACTACACAGGCTCCCGCCTTCAAGCAGCGTATGATAATCGCTCTTTCTTGTGCGTGCTTCGATGCTTGGCCGACGGCGAAACTTGCGACCTGTGTCGCTGATATGGCCACTTCCATCGAAAATGCGGTCGACGTTCCTCGGTTTCCGGCTTCTTGGACTAGCCGGGACACTGCTACGGGATTGCGACGATCGTGGAGTTCCGTGATGTAGGTAACCTTCTGGATTGACTCCTGGAAAGCCAGTCGGTATGCGTGGAGGCATGCTGCCGCGCTCGAGCCTCCTTTGGATGTCGCGCTTTTCTGAAGACGACATCTTGTCGGTAAAGAGGTTTCCCATATCGAAGAGTGGAGGATGTCACAATCTTTCAAGTGTGCGCAATGGTACGGTAATCAGTGTCCAACCGGGAAGCAGGGCTTTGTAAGTTGTCAGTATCGAGGGACGAGGTTTGGTCATGTCGAGCAGCCTTGGTGTGAAGCGTGCGACTGTTTGTCATCGGCAGTTTCGTCACGTTACTACCAGCGAACGAACACTCACGTTGACCGCTGATGTCACCGCTCGCCTGGTCATGACTGGAAGTGATTCAGAATCGAAGTAACAATCCACAGTAAAGTTACGACAAGGAAGCCAAGTATGAAGCCCGCTTGTCATGTCTCCAATATCTTCGCGACACCATATCGCTCGATATGTACACAACGCCTTCGCAGCGCGAGACCGGAGCATCTTCAGCTAGGTCGGTTTTGAAGTCAATAACATTTGTACTTGCAGGTCGAACAACCCTCTCGGAGCACTGCCCCACAGAACACATCGAAGTTGACTACGCTATTGCCGAACGCTCACCGTACCTTCGCATCTACCTCCCACAGCACGTGCGCGATGACCGACCTCTCCTACCCATCCAGCTCGGCAACATCGATCCAGCGGGTTTCAAGCTTTATGCCGAATGGGTCACTACTGGCGTTGTCAAGTTCTCTGATCAACGATCCCTCCAGCTGGACTCCTGTATCGACCTCATATACGCGCACATCGTCGGCTCTGCGTTCTCGCAACCGAACTTCCAGGACTACATTATTGACAAGCTAGCGTCTATTCTTGACCCCGCGCAAACTTTCGACCAAAAGATTCTTGAAATGCTATATCTGGAGAAGCACGCGTCTACGCTACTGCGGACGTTTGTTACGGACAAGATGTTCGCATATGATAGGAGGATGCTGGGTATGCTACGGAATTCCGTGGAGGATATTGTGACGGGGATTAGTGATGTAAAGGGGTGTGAATACCATATCCATGATGAAGGAGTGTGTTATAGACATGGAAGGCCGAGTGAGTTTGAAGAGATGGAGAGAGGTAACGGCCCAGGAGGGAAGAAGTGGAGTATTGACGATGATCCGGAACTGAATGCTATGGCAGCGCAATATTTGGGCAAAGCAACGACCCCTTCGAGAACGGACAAGTCATCAAAAGGTCCCGACACCAAGCACCGTACATCGACAGAAAAGCGTCAATCTCAGGCTAACAAGCTCGCACCGCAACTCAAAATCCCGTCATTACATACCATGACCGAACAAAATCTAAATCGCCAAGAATTCACCATACGATCTCGAAACCTGCGGAGTCCCCGGCCCTCAACAAGATCCTTGACTCCCGATATAGACGTTGACAAACCTCTACCACCGACACCAGAGCCACCTCATGCGCCCAGCACAAAAGATCTAGTTCTCGAATGTCTCGGGCGTCTACCACCAGCATTAGAACAAATCTCAACACAAGACCCCATCGGGGAATGTCTCGAGCGCACGCCGTCAGAGTACCTCAGACCCATCAGTCCAACAGACAATGCCGACTTTCCGCCTCCAGCCAAGACACCAAGACGCCCATCAACTCCACCGAGGTCTTCTTCGCGTCCATCTCCAACCTCTACATCTACTTCCCGGCCTTCTTCCCCATCAGAGTTCATACCGCCCTCCCTCCGCCCAGGCACACCTCTACCATCCACGCACCCAACCCGCAACCTAACCTTCGCACCTCTACCGAAATCGCACCTCTCAAAAAAGAAGCCCTTTCCTCTGGACAACACACTACGTGCATCATCTCCATCGCCATACCCTCACAGGCCAACCACTCCTGCATTTGTTTCCTCACCATCTCCCTCCTCATCGCCCTCGCCATCCCCACCACCCCTCCTCCAACGTCCTTACCATATATCCCCCTCCTCCCCATCCCTACCCCACTTTGCCCCGCTGATAAAACGCAAGCCCGCACCACCACGAGGCGTAGATTGGCTGGAGCAATGGGACAGGTTGTTCGAACTGCAAGGAACACAGGGGTTTGGATTAAGGCGGGCAGAGAAGAAAGAGAAGAAGAGTCGTTTTATGGAGATTTTGGGGGGTGTTGGTGCTAGTGTTGGTGGGAGCGTGATTGGGAGGGAAGGTGGGGTGAGATGAGATGATGGACAGGGGAATGATGTTGTATTGTATGTTACATACGGGATCGCGGGCTATGGATTACTTATACCGATGTGTATATCAGCGTCTTGGTCATCTAAGCTTTACCCAAACCCTTCCCTTCATCATCGCTTTCCCGCTCAACAGTGGCCTCCACATGCTCAGTCATGAGGTGTTTGATACCCTTCATCGAGATCACAGCGATTGTTGCAAGTGCAACGAACGGCACCACACTCCAGTACCCCAGTCTATACGCACGCGCATACGACCAATGGCTCGCGTCCCATGCAGCCGTGATGATAGTTTCGTTCACACCGGGTACGCCTACGCCTCTGAACTTAGACGCCGAGCTACCCTTCATGCCTTTCAGAAGCGCAGGCACAGAAGATTCGGGTAGACCCGCGGCGATGGCGGCAGAGCTGACGTCTCCGGCGAGGTGAGAAGCGACGCGCGAATTTACAATGGCGTAGATGACGGCGGTACCGAAAGCGCCGCCGATGGCTCGGGCGGAGAAGGCGAGGCCGGTGGCTGTGGAGAGGAAGGCGTGGGGGGCTGTGAATTGGATGCATGCGACAAGTAATGTGAGGGGACCTGCGCAACCGATACCTGTCAAGGCGGTGAAGATGATTTGTTCGGTAGCCCAGCCGGGGCGGATGAATGCGAAGCAGATTGAGGCGATGAACATTATGGCGAAGGTGGCTGCTAGAGGGGTTTCTAGATATGGTGTTAGTGGATGGTCTGAAGAAGAATGTAGTGTTACTTACTCATGTCTTTGAACTTTGTCGCATACCATGTTACAGCCAGAGATGTGAAGATTGATGCAATCTTGTAAGACAGCTGTCGGATCGCAATATCCCATGCGTTGTCTTCGAACCCGACGTTCAGGATGAGCTGAGGTGTAACGGCGTTGATGGCGGAGTAGTAGATCCATCCCTCGATAGCAAAGGCAAAAGTCGACAGCCAGAAGTTAGGTCCAGTGGAGAAGAAGATGTGGGCGACGATGCCATCAGACCGGCCCTTCCATTCTGTATTATGTCAGCTTCTGAGTCGAACGTTATGAGGGGATAATCGTTACCGTAAAGACAGAAGGCGATGAAGAGGACAATGCCGACAACAAGGTTAGCGCATACGTGCGGGTTGCTCCACGGGTACGCGCCCCCTGCCCAATTGAGCGCCAAAAGCATCAAGGTAGCAGCAGCAACGAGAAGAAGGGAGCCGATAGGGTCGCAAGCCCACATCCACTCTTTGAAGCTCATCCGCGGATAGTCAGTGCGTTTCTTTGGCCAGTAGAATGCGAACAGGCCAAGCGATGTGATGCCGTGTAGGCCGACTTGGATCCAGAAGATGTAGCGCCAACCGGAAGCACTTAGGTTGGTGACCGCACCGGCTGCTAGACTACCGACACTGCGCAGAGTTAGTATGTGTCAAATATATCTACTTACGGGAAGTGTCTACTTACGTTCCGCCCAACACACCGGCAACGCCTGCAAGTCCGTTCGCTAGTGGTCGATACTTCAAAGGCAGGATCTCGGATGGGATAGACTGGACGATGGAGATGGTCGCAAGTGTCGTGCCGATGAGAATACCGCCTCCAATCAACATGGACATGCTCGTGGCTTTGGCACAGATGATGGAACCAATGCATGCGATCAGTGGAGGTATGGTGGCGAACAGCTTGCGGTCCAAGACATCGGACAAGCGACCAACGGGAGGAGAAAGGACTGATTGCATGAGGAGTGGGCCCTATAGAATGTTAGAACTCGGTGTTAAAGTCTTTTTTTTTAGGCCTGCTGTACCTGGATGATCCAGCTTGCAATGGCAGGTTCTCCAAGCTCGCGAATGATGAACGACAGTACTGATCCCGCAGCCACTACAACGAAGACTTGAGACATGACGCTACATTGTAAGTTAGCAAGGCCACGCAAAAGACTGCGCGCCACTCACGCGAAGCAACAGCAAAAGACGACCATCCACGACCTCCATGAGAGCTTGACATGATGGACGTCCTCATTGGCTTCCTGGTCGATGGGCACGATGTGGGCGTCGCGACCGTGGGCGGTTTCGATATGGGTAGCTCCTGTTTTGCTATCCATGGCTGTCTACACCGGCTGCCAAGTTAGGTCGAGAAAGAAGACAAGGTGGGCGAGGTCTGCATCCCATATCACTACACATATACCACAGTGGGGCATCATGCCGTGGGCGCTTGGCCGGGGCATTCTGACAACGGGATGAGCGGTAGCGGGCTCGAGCTACAACGCCATGCATATCGGCAGATTTGGATGCTGGGGTTGAGGTCCTCTCAAGACGCGTTTGGATGATGTTTACCGAATCATCGGGAGGAGATGATGCGGGGCCCCATATTGGGTGAAGATTGGCGCTCCTTCGCTGCAACGTGATGCGGGGAGGCGCGCCCACGAGTCGGGAGCTGCGCGCCTTACCCCGACACACCTCCTCCTCTTTCCTTTTCACTCCATGGGTGAGGTTCTATCGCGACATGTTGCTGCTACGTGATGAGGGCTGGTGAGGAGCGAGGAGGTGATGGTGATGAAAGAGGAAGGGTCAACCGGAGTTAAGAAGGCTCGCCCCGCTGGACCCTGAGACTTTTGTTGTCTTTGCGCAGGCTTCACGCTCCCACCAACCAACATCCCACCGCCAACCTCTTAGCCGACGCCTATACGACGCATAGTAGCCTTTTAGCTGCCCTCAGCACTGACTCCCCCGCCAGGCGATGCTATGAGCAGCCCACCGCCTCTCGCAGGCCATCTGGTCCCCCTCCGCACCAAGGACGAGGTGCGCGCCAGCCTGGAGACGCACACCGTCTATGTCGTCGAGGTGCCGGCCAAGTTTGCCAACGTAATCAAGGAGTGAGGCCTTCACTCCTGGGGCACCCGCTTGATCTCTGCTAACGTCGCCCGCTCGCAGTGCCGTGCAAGCAGCGTTGCCCGACTTCAAGACGTCGGAGATCTCTCACCTGCGCCGCGTAGTGCAGTTCAAGTACCTGCCGCCGCACCTGCAGAAACAGTTCTATCCGCCTGCAAGGCTCCCCAGGGGTAACGAAGATGCTCCTGCCTCAGAACTACCATCTTCCCCACTAACACCGGCGACCCCCGCTTCCCTTTCCGCGTCCCCGTCCTCAGTCGATGCTGGCAGTGAGGCTGCTCATGGAGAGGCTGATGCTAAAGATTTTGATCTAGTCCGCTACTTCCTGCTGTGTCCCACGCGCCATATGCCCCACGCCAACCTCGCGGCTCTGATACGGACCTGCCCGCCTTTCGACGGCCCCAAGACTGCGCTCCCTCGGATCCTCTACGTAACCGTGCCGGCCCTGGCGCCCATATCCCAGCAGCAGGCTGACGACTGGAGCGACAAGTACTGGCCCATCTCGTACAAGAACACCAACCCCTACGGTCCCCATCCGAGCCTCGTGCAACGCAATCAGGAGGAGCTACAACCCGAGGCAGGCAACTGGCTGGCTCTCGCCCGAGCGGCCGGCCAGCAGATATCGGATCAGTGTCTGGGTGAGAAGATCGGCGTCGTCGTGGTTGACCGCACCAGGAACCAGCCAGAGATTGTCGCGGTTGCAGGCGACTGCCGCTGGAGGTCTTTCACCGGCACCGCTGAACCGCCCACCGGCACCGGCAATGTCATGGCTCACGCCGTCCACCGCGCCATCGCCATGGTTGCGAAGAAGCGGCTGCGTGCTGCCGGCACCGACCCTGCACTTCTCGACCGCTCCCTCTTCTGCGACAACCCCCTCACCGGTCTCGAGAAGCTATACTACGAAAAGGACAACCTCTCATCGAGCGGCTACCTGTGCGTAGATCTCGACATCTACCTCACCAACGAGCCCTGCGTCATGTGCTCCATGGCCATCCTCCACTCG